CAATCATATTCGATATCCAAAATGAATATATCTTTGCATTGGCCAATGACTTTATGATCAATCTAGATATGAGAAGTAGAATATTCTCTCTTAATCTATTACGAGGAATGAATCCTTTCTTGGCTCAACTACTACTCCATGTGCTTCGTGATGCACCAAACACATGTGGTATCTACCCCGATTGGAGTGCAAGCGTTGGTCATGGTCAAAGTACATCACCTCGCACATGTAATATGTATTAACCTCAAGTCAGAGGACTATTACACTACTCTATACGCCAATAATCCCATAGGTACATAAATAGAACTTATCAAATGGTTTCTCGATGGGTATGCTAATATTCTCTAAAATATATATGTGATCATCATGAATTACAGGAACTCATAGTTGTGAGATCAACTATACTTTCTAAAAGTATGATGCAGTTCATATACCAATCTTATCGCATATCATCAATATCACATTGTTGATGATCATTGATTGGGGCTATTTAAGGATCTTATGTTATATCATATAGTCTTATAGTGACTACACATTTTTGGTACGATTTGTCAGAGCAATTTAAATTTGGAACGTTGAAAAAATCAATTTTGCACTTGTCACGGAATTAGTCACGGACGTATCCGTGACTAATTGTAGTCACGACACTAGTCACGGAACGATCCGTGACTAATTTCAAATTTAAAAAAAAACCCGCCGGAGGCGAAATTGGGTTGGCCGGAACACTTTAGTCACGGACTACATCCGTGACTAACTATAGTCACGGTCGTAGTCACGGCCAAATCCGTGACTATTTTTTTTTTAAACGTTCCGTGACTAAACCGTGATTAGAACCGTGACTAACTAGTCACAGACCAAATCCGTGACTACGGTCCGTGACTACAAGCAATTTTTTTTGTAGTGACTCCCCATACGTACGAATTCGACCGAGTGTTCTGGTCATTCAAAGCTTCAATAGACGGCTTCAGATTTTGCTTACCTGTAGTCTCAGTTGATGGCACTCACTTATACGGCAAACACGTACTGATGCACACTAATTAGTAGTGCATAATTATATGTTTTTAATTATGTTTGATTTATGGTGATTGTTTGACGTTTTATTTAGTTTGTAAACATTTGTGTGATTTTAGTTGTAATTGTATTTTAGTCTTTATTTGTAAGTTGTAAAGTTTAGTTATGATTTGTGGTATTGGAAAGGAAGACTTTGAAGTGAAGAAAAAGAAGATTTGGCTGCCCAAGAGCAAATACCCGACCGGGTATAATACTTGACCCGGTCAGGTAAGAAGTGAAAAACGAAAATGCAAAGAAAGTGCATGGCCTGGTCAAGCCCACTACCTCACCCGGTCGGGTGAGAAGTGACCGGGTACAATCCGGCGTGCGAAGATCACCAGAACGTGGCGGATTATCTGATTTTGACCGGACTCGGTCGGGTAAGTACTTGACCTGGTCGGGTACCCGACCAAAGGTGTTGAAAAACACCTATAAATAGCACACTTTTCCTTCACTAAAAATCATCCCTTCTTCCATACTCTTAACACTACAAAAAAATACGCGATTGACATTGATTTTGGCACAGATTTATCAATTTTTATTGCCAAATAGCTCGTGCCAAAGTGTTTTTGGCACGAATTTGGCATATCCTTGCCAAAATCTGTGTCAAATCCCGGCCAAAATCCCTGCCAATCCCATGTTTTTTTGTAGTGTAAGCTCAGTTTAGAATAGCATTTCTTTCTATTTTTCTAGCTATGTTTAGTTTCCAGATGAGGAGCTAAACTTCCATTCTTGGTGTTTCTCTTGAAGCTTGTTGATTATTAAAGTTGTGAGTTATTTTCTTAACTTCTTCACTTGAATATTAATTATTAGTTCTTTCCTTAATACTATCTCTATATTAATGTTGAGGAGTGTTGCTAAGATGACAATTAGTTAACATCTTGACATTAGTTAGAGTAGTATTTTCTTCCTCTATATTAATGTTGGGGAGTGTTGCTAAGATAACAATTAGTGAACATCTTGATATTAATTATAGTAGGATTCATCTCCTTTAATAATATTTTTCCTTGAATATTAATTAATTCCTATTCATATTTCATATTAATATTTTGAACATTACTTAAAGGATCAACTAGTTTTGTTTCATATATTATTTATTACTAAAAACGATCGACGAACCGATGGTTAATCGTTGATGGTTTCACAAGTAAGTAACTTCGGTTTATTAATGCACGGTCGTGGTTGATAAACTTAAGAGGGATTAATTTTGTTGGTTAAACCGAAACCGTTGTGTTGAGGTTATCAATCTCAATTGATTTCATCAAGGAGTTAAGAGATTAAATGCTACTATCAAGTCGGTATATGGCGGTGTTCTATACTTGATGAATCGGATATACTCCTCGATTGAGTATTCGAGAGGGAATAAGTTGTAGATATAACGATGATCGACTAAAATATATCAACAAGTGGAAAGTAGCAATGTCAAGTTCTTTTATCTTTGAATTAAAACACATATAGGTTGTTCATCTTAGTTTTTAAATTAAATCATTCAATCCCAAAAACCCCCTTTTATTTACTAAGCTAGTTCGTAAAAAGAAAAGTATTCCTTTCCGTGTGGATACGAACTCTACTTCACTATACTACGTATAAGTGGTAGTATTGAATTTATTTTGACGCACCGTGACAAAGTGCACATCACGTACAAAGGGGTTCTTCTAGTTGCGGTAGCGATGAACGCTAACCGTGAGATATTTCCTCTTGTGTATGCAGTTGTTGAGAGTGAGAATGCTGACAGTTGGTCGTGATTCTTTCTAAGGGTTATGCGTGATGTCTTTGGAAGTCGTCGTAGGTCAGGAGTTCAATTCCCGTCGGGAGCAGTTTGAGCTCTTGTATTCCCTCCCCCGGGACCCCCCAACCCCTCACCCCCCCCCCCCCCAAAAGCAACGAATTACTTATGTAATATTATTGGTTCTCTTTTCCATTGTGTTGAAGATTCTGTTCACATAACTAAAATAAAATAAAATATAATAAGATAAATTTAATCATATTAATTTAATCAAATAAGTTTACTCAGATAAAATTGAGTACATATTTATTTGGGCCTACCTGCTTTTGCTCACCGCTCCACCCATATCTGTACCATATTAAAGCCATATCTGTAGCATATTAAAAGGAAAAGTTGAAAATAATAATATCAACTATTGTCGATCCGCTAACAATAATCCCTTTAGAAACTATAAGAATTTATTTATATTAGGTCACATCAAAAGGTCCCCAAAGTTGGGATTATTATGAGCGGACCGCCAATAGTTAGATTATTACGATCAATTTTTCCTATTAAAAATCCAACCAACTAACTAATAGAGTGAGGATCCGGATCGATATCCAACGGTTAGAAACAGATGAAGGAACGCATGGATCGAAGGAAATAAACTCACTCCCCAAGTGCTAAATACAAGAAAGCACAAAATAAAAGAAGAAGCATATGGATCGTGATCGAAGGGAATAAACTCACTTCCATTAAAATTACAAAAATGACATTTAAAACAAAATTAAAATTTGTATCTCATTTTATTAATTTTATCCATATAATAATTTTAAGCAATAAAATAATATTAAGCAATCAATGTTTTTGTTACTCCATGTTAAACAATAAAACTTTAGTTTAAAAAAACTAAAAAACCCTAGTAGGAAGTGGCATATCCGACTAGGAATATTCCAATAACACCAATAAAAAAATAATACTTTATACTTTATTGATGTTGATGACCTTAACTTGAATTCTCTCATGATTTATGTATTCAAATACTCCGTACTACGTAATATTTAATCTTGTTGGTGACATGGATAATATTTAGTCAGATAAAGAGTTTTTGCCACTTTTAGTCCCCCGAGTATTGTGTCAGTGACGCTTTTGGTACACGACTTTTGATTTTTTCATTTTTAGTACTCAACTATTATGAGAGAGACTTTTAGTCCTCTACTTTCAAGTTTTCCACATTTAGTCCTTTGAGTATTATCAAATTGACATTATTAGTCCTTTTACTATGATTTTGACACAATAAGCGGAAGACTAAAAATGTCTCTATTGCAATAGTTGAAGAACTAAAAGTGTCACTTTTACAAAAGTCGAAGGACTAAATACGGAAATTTTCAAAGATGGATACCAAAAGTGTCTCTCACACTGTAGTCGAGGACTAAAAAAGGAAAAATTAAAAGTCGAGTACCAAAAGTGTCACTGACTCATATAAATTGAATCACATAAATTTAATCAAATAAATATAATCAGATAAAATTTAATCAGATAATATCAATCACATAAAATGAAATCCGAGTCCCTTATTCCTACCGGTCGGCTTTGGCAGCCCGTGTTCAACATTCCGGTATTTTGGGAAATCACCCTCAAAATTTCATACTCCCTCCATTCCTATTTTATGTTTCAAATAGGTTTGGCACACAATTTAAGATAGTAGGCATTGTATGGTGGAGAGTTGTGCAGAGAACAGAAAAATGTGTAAAAAATGTCGTGAACCACAAATTCTTTACTAAAAAGGAAAAATGGAAGTTTTAATTGGAACGGACGAAAAAGGAAAGTTAGAAGTTTTAATAGGAACGGAGGGAGTATAAAAAACAGAAGATAAAAAACTTTATTTCTTAAATTTATTTTTAGCCGAATTTTTTTAATTTTTCACACGTAATATTGATATCATATGAAAGATCATCAAAAATTAAAAATATTGATATATTTTTGAAAAAATTGAATCAGAAATGAAACAGTTATAATAATTGCAAAATTAAAATGAATTCTTATGTCATGCCTGATGTTATAACTAATTTGTTTTCATAGCTTACTAATTAAGAGAAAAGATTCGAATACTTTAATGGGCTGGAGTGGCGAGCAAATTAAGAACATTGTTTTGTGGGTTTCTTCAATTCCATTTCCACCCACTGCCCTTGGCCTTTCATCTCATATAAATATGCGCGTAGAGATTGAAGGAAATATAGAGAATTGTCGGTGCTAGTGCTAGTGCTGGTGCTGGCTAGCCTTATTTAGTTAATACCCAGTAATAACCTTATATCTATATATGGCGAAAAATAGTACGCAAAGCTAAGCTGGTTATCAAAAAATGGCCAGAGAGAGCGCCTCGAAGCCCTCGAACAACATTTATGTATGTTTCGGTTCTATTGCAACCCTAGCCCTGGGTATCACTATTCTTGTATTCGGTTGTTCGATCCTCAAGAGCAGCAATCCTTGTATCAGTTTTATGATGATCGGTTCCGTCCAATTAGCAGGCGGGGTGGTGGCTGTCCTCACCGGAGTCAAAATGATCCTGGGGAGCTGCGGCGGCCTAGGAGAGAAGATTCGTGGTTCATACTGTTTGGTAACGTTTATAACTCTTTTACTGGCAGTAGCCACGCTTTGGTTAAGCATTCTGATGATGCAAGACTCCAAATACTCTCGCTCCCTCGAGAAGGCGCCGAACCGGGGTTACGTCGAATACCGTTTCCATTCATTCTCTTCCAGGCTTCGCGGTCGGGTTAGCGATGTGCGTCGGTGGAACGCAATCGCAGCTTGCCTCGGAATTGCCGATGGTCCCTGCGTTGACTTGAAGAGCGCTTCTTTCAACTTCTCCTCAGCTCAACAACTTAATGCATCAAGTCTCTCCCCCATACACGTTCTATTCAAAACTCATCATAATCGATCCGATGTACTGAAATTTGAATAAAATCTCAAATCGAAACATTTGGAGTATATACATATACTCGTATATTTTTCATGAACTGACATTTCATGATTGCGCGCAGTCTGGATGTTGTATTCCTCCACAGAGTTGTAACTTCACTTTTGTGAGTCCAACGAATTGGAAACCGACCATCAATCAAACAGCAGCTCTGGACGCTGACTGTGCTAGATGGAACCATGACCAAAACAAATTTTGCTTGGATTGTGATTCTTGCAAAGCAGGAGTACTACTCGGCTTCGCCAACAAATTTAAAAAGCCATCTACCGCACTGGTTGTTTCCTCTACGATAGCGGTCACTGTACTGCTTCTTTTATTCATTTGTGTTCTTGTGGCGGAGATATTAAATGTCATACCTTAACTATTGATAATGTTTCAATTTGGTACTTTAACTCTTAAATGAATCAAAATGGTATCTTAACTATACATAAATGTTTCGATTTGAGAATTTATTCAAACTTCCGATCAAAAAATCTTTCATGACGATCAAAATTGAACGTGTAGATTCACCATATAATGATCATATGGACAAAAATAAGGTGAAGTAGACTTTACGCTTAGAATTATGGCCGTCACATGTGATTTTTTAGTCAGAAATTTGAAAAAAATCTCAATTCAAAACATGTATGTATAGTTAAGGTACCATTTTGATTCATTTAAGAGTTAAGGTACAAGTGCAACATTACCATTAGTTAAGATGTCATTTATGCATTTGACTCTTTTCTGGCGTTTGACTAAAGAACACTCGTGGAGTCCAATTGATGAAGTTTTATACTTTTAATAAGATCAAATAAGTCATGCTTCGGGAATCATAAACATGTAGTCCTGTTTATACACTTTGATTAACTTTTAATCCTATACTAAAGTAATTACTCCCTATTTATTCATCTAACTGATTTCCAATTCTCCAAAACCGGCTAAATTTGCCATATTGAAAGCTATGAAATCTCTTATTTATACTAGTTTTGTGCCTAGGTGTTGCCCCGTGTGCAACTTCTGTATGGAACTGTAAGTTCATAATTCGTATACCGTTTGTATATGTATAATGTTTCTTTCGTGTGAATTTTGGGATTTGTAATTTCTATTGACAAAAACACATAAATCTTCAGTAATATGATAATATAAGGTCCTTTTTTCATGAATATTACTAAATTAAATTCAAAAGACAAAAATATGACTTGTTTTGAAATTTTTCAAAAAAGTAACATATTCAGTGACTCGTCAACTACCAGTGACTTGTTACTCTAAAATACAATATAGTGAGTGACTTATGTCCAGTTACTCGTACATAGTGACTAGTCATATTTTTGTCCAAAAACATAACTGATAGAGTATATCTAGAGAGAAGTGAGAGCTAGAGAGAGAAATGCAATAATATGCTTCAATAGAATGAATTTGTAACCCCTATAACTACTCCCAAGGGGAGTATTTATAGAGAAAATTAGGGTTGGGCTCCCAAGCCTTGGGCTTGGGAGGCCCATTTACAACTGGACCGCTACTGGGCCGAATACAAAGCCTCTAATGGGCTGTACAAATGAGTAAGTATAGAATCCGTTTCTGGGAGGTCTTCGTGGCCGACGAGGGCGTGGCCGACGAGGGCGTGGCCGACGAGGGCACGGCCGACGAGGGCACGGCCGACGAGGGCACCCGAGTTCCTTGGGTCCAGGACCGTAATCTGAGTTGGCCCCTTTTCGGCCGACGGGGGCGTCTTGGCCGACGAGGGCGCCACTCTGTTGTCTTGTGTTCTGTTCTTCTGAGTATGTGGGTCCTGGAGCTCAGGACCATATACTCCATCAGGAGTCCCCCACTCTCTAAGTTGAGACGTAGACGAAGTGAAGGAGAGTAGATTTCTGTGCTTTGTTGCTTTTGGCCGACGCGGGCATTTCCAGGCCGTTAGCCGTTGCGGTATTGGCGCTGTTTCCATTTTGGTGATCCTGTTATGGGCTTTGGCCGTTACCTGCTCCTCGCTGTGGGCGGGGAGGCCGTTATTTTCTTGACGTGTTCGTTTGAGGACGATGAGTGTCTTGTTCCGATGTCGGCCGTTGAAGGCGCGCTTTCCCTTTCCTGGTCGTTGGTGGTTGAAGTTTATGTTTGGGCCTGTGAGGTTGTTCCTTGCTTTGAGGACGATGGCGTCCTTTCCTTTGGGTGGCCGATGAGGGTGCTCGCGCACTCCTTTTGGCCGTTGCTGGTTGGCCTTCGTGTTCTTGGCCGAAGGGCCTGTCAAGATTAATTGTTGGCGGAGGACGATGAGTGTCCTTGTCTCTAGTGGCTTGTTGGCCGTTGCTAATGACGTTTTGGGCCTTTGGCCGATGAGGTTCCGTTGGGCTGTGTGGATGATGTGGCCATGTTTTGTGGTTACCTTGTTTATACTCTTTGTTTCGTTGAGGCCGGTGTAGTCCCCCAGTCCCCCACTGCTTCAGGCCGAAGAGTGTGAGGGGTGAAGGAGTTGTTTGAGTCCCTGGCCGAAGCGGTCTCGCCGTAGTCCCCCTGAATCCAACTCTCATGGCGATTTTCTGGCCAAGGTAACCCTGTGGGAGAACCCTTGTGCGCAGATCACTTGTAGAGAGTTATCATCAAGGGTTGTTACGAGGAGCCGAAGGCTGTGGGCTATTTGTCCCCTTTGTTCTGTGGCCGTTACGTACCTGGCCGTTGCCATCTTCGTATTGTGTGGCATTTGTGATCTTGGCGAGTAAGTGGGACGTTGTGGGCGCTTGCTGGCAGTTGTAAAGCCGCTGAGCGTGTGTAGGCCGTAGGGTCTGATTTGCCGGTGGGCCGTTGATATGGGTTGGTCCTGGCCCGTTGGTGACGTGGTGGCCTCCCAGTGGTGGCCGTTGATGTGGCCATTGGGAGAGTGCCACGTGTAGTGACCGTTGGTGGGGGGGTCTATAAATACCCCTTCCCCTCCGACGAGGAATCACATTTGCATTCTGAATTTGTCGAAGTGCTGACCGATTTTCTAGAGAGATCAACTCCCAAGCCTGTTCTTCGTGTTCTTCGTTGTTCGAGGTTAGTGTTCATCACGATCTTCCTCGCTTTTCATACTTTGCTTCCTAGGTAGTTGATCTAGTGTTAGGCGTTTAAACGCCTTTAGATCTTAAGTTGTTCTCCTTAAGCCCGTAGTAGTAGTAATGAAGAGCTTGAACGAGGACTACTACCCCTACGACGACCAGCCCTCCACGAGGTCGCTTGACTACGAGGTGCTCGAGGAGTTTGAAGAGGAGATAGAGCGCTTGAGCCCCTACAAATCCGGAGAGCTGATGGACGAGGAGGGCGAGGACGAGGAGTCCGCCTCCTCTTCAGAGGGTGAGGACGTAGGCGCGTCCCGAGCGGTGGACGGGGCGTCCATTTCTGCTGCCGTTCCGTGCCCGAGGCCGGTGTCTGCCGTGAAGGGAGCAGCTAAGCCGAAGAGGGTGAGGAGGCCGAAGAATGGGCCGGGCCTCTCCTACTTGGACCTCACCAACATATTCTTGATCAAGCCGGAGAGCAGTGCGGCCGACTATCTTGTCGCCCAAATGTACGTGGGGCCGTTCGGGCGGGTTAGGGCACCCAGGCCGACGGACCATGTTCTACTTCCGCCACCGGGATACTTTGGAGTATACTCGATGAGCTTTGCTAAGGGGTTGAGGTTCCCCCTTCACCCTTTCTTCATTGAGTATCTGGACATGGTGGGGCTTCCTCCGGCCTTGCTGACGCCGAACAGTTATTCCTTGATGGTGGGCTTTTTACTTCGGTGTGAGGAGTTGGGCTTCAGGCCGACCACGGCCTTATTCATGAACTTGTACCAGATCGGCCGAGGAAGCCACAAGAACTGTGCGGCCTATGCTACTCTTCAACAGTTGCCGAGGAAGAGGAGCTTCACGGATTTGCCTACATTCATGGGTTGAAGAGCAAGTTCGTGTTTGTGTCCATTGGTGAGAGTGGCACCGAGTTACCCTCTCTCGGCCATACCGGGAGGTTCAATCTCCATGACCCGCCGAAGAGCTCTATTTTGGACGCTCAGGTGGAGGCTTTCCTGGAAGGGGGGCCGAGGAGCGTGAAAGATTACGTCACTGAATACAAGATGACGGCCCTCGGCTTCTTCAGATATCACTTGTATGGAGATAAGGAGGATGACCTCCAACTCTGGCCGAGGATGACCACCACCTTTGAGGAGGCCGATGGCCCGGATTTGGGCATTCCTGCTGAGGCCGATGGTAATTTTTCTTCGGCTTTCTGTCTTTACGTTTTGTCCTTTGCCTTACTAATCTGTTTGTTTTTTCTTTGTAGACTTTGTCATGGACCGACGCTCCATTATGGCTGTTGCCAAGGCCAAGGCGGCCGAGGAGCTGGCTGCTAAGGCGGCCGAGGCGGCTCGACGTGCCGCTGCTGGTGGGAGCGGGGCTACTGCTGACGCAGCCCCAAAACCTGCCCCATCAAAGAAAAAGTGACCGGCCACTTACGACCAGAAAAAGCTGACTGAGGCCGGCGTGAGCGTCTCTAAGAAGACGAAGAGGGCTCCTTCCCCTTCTCCGGCTAGTGAGGCTGGTACTCTTACTGTCCCCAGCGTGGGCGATGGTGGTCCCGTCGTGGACCTTACTGTTGCTGACGATGCTGCCCCAGCGCTTCCTCTCGTCCCGGAACCACGGACGCAGAGGGCCGGCAAGGAGGTTGTCGGTGCCACCTATCAGAAGGTGATAGAGTACCCCGTCGGCGGGGGCGTGTTTAATGATCTCGTCCCCGGCCACGTCGTCCTGGCCAAGGCCATGCCGGCCAAAGATCGGGCTCACTTGAAGAAGCTCGAGGACCCGAAGATTTATGAGGGCGGTATGGACCTCCTCGTCCAAGTAAGTGACTGTCCTTATATTTTTGTCTCTCTTCGTCTGTGTAGAGTTTTTTGCCTGACCTTTGTATTTCTTCTGCAGAGTGCCTTCATGCTTATGGAAAGCCATAAGAGGCAGTACTGGGAGATAGCTCGCCTGCAAGCACTGGAGCAGAAGGCCGCCTTGGCCGACGAGGCGGTAGCTTGCCTTGACCGGCTCCGGGAGGATGCCAAGGCGCTGCAGGCCAAAGCGGATGAAGCCACCGCAGCCAGGGACGATGCCCTGGCCAAGCTCGAGGAGAGCAAAAGGGAGCTCGAGGAGTCCCACAGGGCGCTTGAGGCCGAGAGGCGCAGGAGCGAGGAGGCCGCCAAGGCGAAGGCTGAGGCCGAGGCCGCCGTCGTGAAGGCTACTGATGAGGCCGTCGAGAAGTTCCTGGCCGAGGGGTGGAAGGCCGATGAGAGGCTCCCCTGGTGCTACGAAGTGGTGGCCGCCAGGCTTGAGAATTGGGGGATGAACTCCCCTGCCGGCCGGGAGTATTTCAGCCGGGAGATGTCCGTTTATTACAACCTGGGCCAGAAGCGGATGCAAAGGCTCCTGTGTCGGCGGCTATCCCGGGCGTTGAAGGCCATGAATTACACGTCTGGGTGGGCTAGACGGAACCTGAAGCTGCCAAAGCTGATGAAGGATCCAGAAGAGCAGGCCAAGCTTCCGCTGTCGGAGCGAGAGTCCCCTATAGAAAGCTCCGGCCTCGGCGAGCCGGACTATACTGAATTTGACTTCTTAGATGATGCCACCAGCGCCGCTGCCGGCCAAGAAGCTGAGGCCGATGAGGCCGACGAGGAGGGAGCCGATGAGGTTGAAGAGCCCGCCGCGGATGAAAGTGCCCCGGAAGCTTGATCGGCTATTCACTACTGTAGTTAGCTTTTCATTTGTTGCCAGATTATGTAACGGCCGAAGTGCCCCCCATTGTAATGAATTAATTAAATGAAAGAATTTTTGTCATCCTTCTCGGCTATGAATCCATTGTATGCTTGTTTGCCTTTTGTCATTTCAATTCAGTAAATTGTCGGTGTCAAGTCATAACTAAGTGTCCGCTACGTCCATGAGGTTGGCCTCCCTGTCCGGTGGCCTGGTCGGCCTATTCATCTTTGCCTTACACTTAGGAATTTTTTCAAAA